AGTTTTCGCATTCCAATTTTGTGAATCATCTTCTCAAGAGTTGAGGCTGGTAAAGATTTGGTAAATAAATCTGCTAGATTATCACTTGAACGAATTTGTCGCACATCAATAGCACCATTCTTCTGGAGATCATGTGTGAAGAACAATTTTGGTGAAATGTGTTTCGTTCTATCTCCTTTTATAAAGTCTCCTCTTAATTGAGCTATGCATGCAACATTGTCTTCAAAGAGTATTGTGGGTATCTTGACGTCACACTTCAAACCACATCTTTCTTTGATAAAATGTATTACTGATCTTAACCATACACATTCTCTACTTGCTTCATGAATGGCTATTATCTCAGCATGATTTGAAGAAGTAGCGACAATAGACTGTTTCGTAGATCGCCATGATATAGCAGTACCTCCGTATGTGAACAGATAGCCTGTTTGTGATCGAGCTTTATGTGGGTCAGATAAATAACCTGCATCTGCATGACCAAAAAGATCTGCACTACCTTTGTTAGAATAAAACAGACCCATATCACTAGTACCCCTTAGATGTCGCAACATATGTTTAACTCCATTCCAATGTCTTTGTGTAGGGGAAAAACTATATCTTGCTAATAAATTAACAGAAAATGCTATGTCGGGTCTCGTAGCATTAGCAAGATACATAAGTGCCCCAATTGCACTGAGATAAGGTACTTCTGGACCAAGAGGTTCCTCTTAAGGTCGAAATGGATCCTTACTCACTTCAAGTGATCGGATAACCATTGGAGTACTTGATGGATGTGCTTTGTCCATGTAAAGTCGTTTCAAGATTTTCTCAGTATAGGCAGATTGATGGATGAAGACCCTGTCTACTAAATATTCTATTTGTAGTCCAAGACAAATTTTTGTCTTTCCAAGGTCTTTCATCTCAAATTCTTTCTTTAGATATTCAATTGCCTTTTGAACCTTTTCTGGAGTTTTAATGAGATTAATGTCATCAACATAAACAACAAGAATAACACACCCCAATGTTGTTTTCTTAATAAATATACAATGACAAATGACATCGTTTATATAACCTTGTTTTATTAAGTACTCACTAAGGCGATTATACCACATGCACCCTGATTATTTTAAGTCATATAATGACTTTTGTAATCTGATTGAATACATTTCACGAGATTTTGAACTATATGCTTCAGGCATTTTAAGTCATTCCAGAACTTTCATATAAATTTCATTATCAAGTGAACCGTAAAGGTAAGTTGTAACCACATCCATTAGATGAATCTCAAGATTTTCATATACAACTAAGCCGATGAGATATCGAAAAGTTATTGCATCCATAACAGGTGAATATGTTTCTTCATAGTCGACACCGGGTCGTTGAGAGAATCCTTGTGCAACAAGGCGTGCCTTGTATCTTACATTCTCATTTCTCTCATTCCTTTTTCGTACAAAGACCCATTTATAGCCAATTGATTTAACATCACTAGGCGTTTGGACTACTGGTCCAAAAACCTCACGCTTAGCAAGTGAATTTAATTCTGATTGAATTGCTTCTTGCCATTTTGGCCAGTCACATCTTTGTCGACATTCTTTGACAGATAGAGGTTCAAGATTCTCATTTTCTTTCATAATGTTAAGTGCAACATCATATGCGAAAACATTATCCACTATGATTATCGATCTAAACTTATCTCATCACCTGTAGAACTTATTGAGAGTTCGTCATTTACTTGAGTCTCGGTTTCACTGATCTCTTCAGGAATATCAGGATTAATCAGATCTTGAATTTCTTCGTGAGATTCTTTTGTAGTGTCATTTTTTGTACTTCTTTTTCTAGGATTTTTATCTTTTGAACCCAATGGTCTACCACGCTTCAGGCGTATTTGTGATTTAGAAGCTACGATACTTGTAGATGGTCCTTTTGGGACGTCGATTCGGATAGGCACATTAACTGCAGGAATATGCGATTTTGTTATCCTTTTTGAATCAGTAAATGCGTCTGGCATTTGATTTGCTATGTTTTGCAAATGGATGATCTTCTGGACCTCTTGCTCACACACAAGTGAGCGTGGATCAAAATGAGATAATGATGAAACTTTCCATGCAATTTCACTTTTAAGTTTCTTTTTCTCTCCCCCTAATTGCAGAAAATTTGTTTCATCAAATCGACAATCTGCAAATCTTGCAGTGAATAAATCTCCCATCAATGGCTCAAGGTAGCGAATTATGGAGGGTGAATCGAACCCAACATATATGCCTAACCTTCTTTGAGGGCCCATCTTGGTGCGCTGAGGTGGTGCTACAGGCACATATACAACACATTCAAAAATTCGAAGATGAGCAATATTTGGTTCATGACCAAACACCAATTGTGATGGGGAGTATTTATTATAATGAGTCGGTCTGAGACGAACAAGTGATGCTGCATGTAAGATAGCATGACCCCAAACAGTAGTAGGCAACTCACTTTTCATAAGTAGAGTCTTGCTATCAATTGTAAGCATTTAATAAATGACTCAGCAAGGCCATTTTGAGTATGAACATGAGCTACAGGATGTTCAACTTTTATCCCTACCGATATGCAATAAGCATCAAAAGCTTGGGATGTAAATTCGCCAGCATTATCGAGGCGAATTGTCTTAATGGGATAATCTGGAAATTGCGCTCTTAATCGTATTATTTATGTCAATAATTTTGCAAACACCAGGTTGCGAGATGATAAGAGGCACACATGAGACCATCTTGAAGATGCGTTATATAGGTGAATAGGTCCACAAATATCCCCATGTATTCGTTCTAAAAATTGAGCGGATTCAATGTTAACCTTCATTGGTGATGACCTAGTAATCAATTTACCTTTGCAACAAGCAGCACATGAAAACTCATCATTTGTAAGAATCTCCAGGTTCTTTAATGGATGTCCATTTGAGTTTTCAATTATTTGTCTCATCATTATTGATCCAGGATGACCTATTCGGTCATGCCAAAGCACAAAAGTCTTTAAGTCAATAAACTTCTGGTTTACGATAGAATGTGCTTCAATCGTACTTATTTTTGCATAATATAGGCCAGAAGACGAAGTTGATAATTTCTCAAACACATATTTCTGGTCTGAGACAATCTTGGTAATACCAAGGTATTCAACATTCATTTCATTTATTGTCTCAACATGATATCCATTTCGGCGAAAATCTTTAAAACTTAACAGCTTTCTTGGGGATTTAGAAGAGAACAAAGCATCTTCTATGACGAATTTTGTTCCCTTAGGAAGAAATGTAGTAGCTCTTCCGGAGCCTTCTATTAAGTTTGAATTACCATAAATTGTAGTAACATTTGCTTTCTTCTAAGCAAGTAGGAGAAGTATTTCTCATCTTTGAATATGGCGTGCGTTGTTCCACCATCAATTACACAAATATCTTCATGATTGATCATTGAGGTATCCATATACTCTTCAAGATAAAAGATATAAACGAAATAAACATTATAATATTATTACTAAACAAAAACATTACACAACCTTTTAGTTATTTACAAGTCTAGGAAAACATATTCATGCTAGTTCATACAAACGACGAAAATGAAATATATTTACATTATCACAGATCCATTACCTATCAGGTGATCTATCTTTCCTTCGGGATTCTCAAAGAAATCCGCTACATCTAGATGCATGGGTTCAACAGTATCTTCCGAGATAAAGTTGGCTTCTGCGTTATTTTTCACCTCCTTCAGAGAAGCTTGATATAGCTCAACCATGTGCCTTGGTGTACGACAGGTACGTGACCAATGTCCTTTTCCTCCACATCGATAACATTTGTTGTCTGAATTTTTCTTCTGCACTACATCATGTTTTTCATTCTTCTTTTTACACTGCTGGTGTTGAAGGTTATTATTTAGTGCAAGACGATCACCATGATTGAAATTTCTTCCTCGACCACGACCACGACCACGACTGGGGTTACGACCCTTTTCACGCCTAGATTGGTGAAAATTTGTCGTATTTACTTCAGGAAATGACATAGAACCAGTAGGTCGACTTTCATGGTTTTTCATCAGTAAGTCATTATGTTGTTCAGCAACAAGGAAATGTGAAATTAATTCGAAATATTTTTTAAATCCCATTTCACAGTATTACTGCTGCAGAAGCATACTCGAGACAGGAAAAATGGAAAACGTTTTCTCCAGCATATCATGATCAGTTTGCACATGATCAATTTGGGGCCCACATGGCATGTGATGAGTTTGCACATGATCTCCAGACAAGTGAATGAGTTGCATCACTTGTGCAACTCATCACTTGGCCAATAATAGGCCAAAGGTGCACATCACTTGGCCAATAATGGCCAAAGTGATACATGTGTAAATAAAAGTCAAGGCTATAAATAGCCATTATGCATGTTGATACAATATATACATTTTTATGAAATATATTATTTCTTAAATTTTCCTTCTTTAAGTACATTAATTTTAGTAAGTTCTTTTATAACAAAAATAAAATTTTGAACTGTGAATTATTTACTTCATTATTCTACAATATAGATGTGCTAGAAACTGACAACTTTACTTTTACTACTCTATGAAAGTAACTTGAAATTGAATTGTTTGTTTCTAGTCTAAACAAGTTAGAGATGATTGTATGAATTCTTAGCGACCACATTCATAACAAATTTCAGGCCAACATCCAAGTTGAAGAAAGAATTGAATGTTTTGAACAAGGTTGAAGGTAAAAAAGAAGAAGATGATGTTCACCTATAGAGAGAACAAAATAATGTTGGTAGAAATTGTGAAGTGATGGTGTTAGAGAATTCCCAAGTTAGTACTACTGTTTATTCAAAATGAAACAGCTTCAAATGCAATGATTGTGGGCAGTTTAAGCCAAGAAGTTTGGTGTACTGATACAATGTTTTAACATAAAGTTAGCCCAAATGTCAAAAGATTAACAATGTTTTTGGCTGTGATGCTTATTGACAATTTTCAATTCCTGCCTCCTCACAACTGTTGCAGAAGATAGAGGACATATGGTTAGAAAAAATATACTTATGAATCAATGAAGCATTTGAGAATGAATTATAGTAGTTGAGTCATGATACACAGGAACTAATTGAAGTATAACTAGCAGATATCAAAACTAAAGCAGCATTTCTTCTTAGGAAACCAATAGTCATGTCATGGCACATCATTTTAAGACCTGCAGAGGACAATTTAGTGTGACATAAGACCGGTACCTAAAAAAGGAATACTGAGCATGTAGCACAATTGTCAACTGCATGTCATAGACAAGTTTTACCTCTTGCAGTACCTTTGAACCTTCATAAGAAAATAGCCGAGAAGCATTTGCGAAGCTTATCTCAGCAAGTTCTTCTTTTGTCAGCTCAAGTAATGATGCAACATAGGAGAGTACATGGTGAATGTTTGCAGGATGGTTATAGATTTCTTCTGCCTGTCGTTCATTGCCTTTGTCCTCCTCGGATGGATTTCCATCATTGATTCCTCCACTTGATGTTCCATCAGCTGATGAAGCTTCCTTCTCGATTAAATACAGAGAATCTGGATTGCTTAATTTTGGCAAAGCATCTGGTGCATCTGTCTCCAACAAGATCCTGTCCTTAGGAATTGACTTCAACATTTTCTTCGCCTTGCTTTCCTTCATGGACATAAGGAACCCAGAAAAGGAGAAGTAAGCACCAAGCTTAGCAAATTCAGGAACCATTTCAGCAGAGCCGAGGTAAGAGTGCAGGATGAAACCAGCAGGAACAGGCCCCGCAGATTTTAATAATTCAAGAAGATCCCCGAAAGCACGAACACAGTGTATGGATGCTGGTCTTTCCAACTCTTTGGCAAGTTGAAGCTGCTGTCGACAGACATCCACCTGATCAGCGAAATCAATCTTCCTTCCAAATGAACCTTTATCTAAACCAATCTCTCCAACTGCAGCAGCAGGAGTAGACTCCAAAAATCCTCTCAAGGTTTTCAGCCAATCAGGAGTTCTCTCAGTTATAAACCAGGGATGGAGCCCAAAATTTGGAACAATAGAAGGGTAGCGTTCACTCATTTCCTTTACCAAACGCCAATCTTTCTCTGACACGCCATTGACCGCAAAATGGACAACTCCTGTTTCAGTCGTGGTTTTGATAATTTTTGGGACCATATTAAAGATCCTTGGATCTTGGAGGTGACAATGAGAATCAAAGAGTTTCAGCATTATGGGTCTTAAAACTGCCAGACTCTTCTCTTCTTTTCTCTTGATACACTCTAAGTCGGTATTATACTGCTTATTCCTTGAACGAACCCTTAATGAAAGCTCACATGCTGGAGAAAGATAATGGTAACTGGAAGATGCTAGTGCAACACGGTCTCACAACTGTATGATAGATTAAGGTGTAACTAGCTTGTGTATGTATGAGAAGCAAATGACTTAAAGGAATCTGCACAAATCAAACGCTGAAATAAAATGAAGTACCTGTAACCACTCAGAACTCCAACAATTTCATAATACAACTCAAAAATCCAAATCCGTAAACCCATAAGAACACCACATTAAAGTTGGTCAGCCTTGTTAAACCTGACTGCATGCACGCAGCAAAATGAGAGTAACGCTTTGAGTTAAAGAAAAATACTTTCAAACAGGATAAGTGTTGCTTGGGAATTCTAATGTCTAACCAAGTCACTCTCTTGGCTATTTAGAGTCTTCTTAACAACCTAAAGTTGAACTGAAACAAATATGATTATGCCAAAAATGGAAGTTCATACACAAGGCTACACTCAACGTACATCTCTACAACCAATTTTTAGTCTTGAACCTCAAATAAGGAGCGTACACAATAAAACCAGTGAAATCGCAGTATGGTGAACCTGCAACTCAGGTGCTCATACTATTAGACATTGGGTATCAGCTTGAAGTAAATTATCTGAATGTTACCACTGGGTGGGCGGAATCAAAACGAAAAACATGACGAAACTATTTGATTTTCCAATTCCGATGGTCTTAAATTCATCATCAATAAATCAGGCTCGATTCTGAAACGACTCTTCCTCTTTCTTTAAACCAAAGTAGCCATTCTTCCTATTTCTAATTCCCGATAAAGTAAAAGTAATTCTTATTGATCTAAACACCAGAAAGAAGAAAACAAACCAATGAGAACAAGCAGAAAGAAGTAAGCAAGTTACAAACTGGATAAATAAACAGATAATATAAGTAGGAAAACAACATAAAGAGGACCAACAGATAAGCAATTTTCGCTAAAAGTTTACTCAACCACTATAAAAATGTCACTAGATGCAGCTCCCATTTTTTTGTATTTATTTATTTATGTTACTAACAAAGACACACATTTGTGGCAGAAGAGTTTCACGGATATCTAAGGATTACTAAACAGAGAACATAAGTCATACATTCACTCTATTTATCATCAGTTCATCACTAGTTTCAAGGATCTATCATAAACTGTCTCTCTACGTAGGGTGAGGTTTGCATGCATCCTACCCTCACCAGTGTATTAGTATGTTTTTGTTGTTGTAGTATTGTTAATCTTGAAAATCACGTTAAGCAAATCAGCTAGTCTCAATTTCCCTCTTATTTAGGGTTTAAGTGGAAGCTTAAAGCTGTGTTTACAACTTCTCAAACACCATCCTCCAAAGACATAATTTTGCAAAAAGCTACGCAACAAAGGCTTTCTTATCCCCATCACCATCTTCCTATCTGTTACATATGTCTGAGTAATAAAGATTGAATTTTTCAAACACCCATTAACTCCAATTACAAGAAATTTAAGAAATTTTCTTGGAATGAACAATTAAGTACCTGGAATATGAGCTCTGAAATTTGAGGGGTAATATACCAAAAAGAAAAGCTTCTCAATCCCCTTCACACTAAAATTCTCAGCGACAGCTCGAACCACATCTATTTCCTAGGGTTAACAAGGCTTTCGTGAATGTGCACCAATCGGTTTTGTACGATCTTATTTTAGCTGCTAATTTTTAATTTTCCCGATGGCAAGGAGATATTGGATATGATGTATCAAGAAATTGCCGATAGAATTTAAAAAAAATACAAGAAGATTCGATATCAAATATGATTTTACTATAGAGGAAGAAAAGAAGATTCGTAAAGACAACTCCTGGGCTTTTGAATGATTTTATTACATTAGTGTTATTTTTAATTTTTGTTCATTTTTTTCATTATTTTTTAATTAGATCAATATACTTAGATATATCCTATTTTATTTAATTATATCTTCTACTTTTTCTTTTATAGAATTGTTGTTTGATTTTATGAATTTATAAATTTGTTATGAGCAATTTTCACATATAGCAAACATAAAAGAATTATATTTATATGTTGTAGCTATAGTTTGCATAATTGTTTTTCATACCAATAGCCTCATCAATATGGGCTAAGACCTGTTGGGCCGATTTGGCCTAACTCGAGAATTAATAGGGTCGGACTAAGATTTTTGAAATTCATTTTAAAAAGGACAACTTTCACGTATAGCAAATAAAAAATTCATATTTGTATAATATAGCAAACTTTGCATAATTGCGCTCCATAGCAAACATAAAAACTGTATAATTCGCTATACATATACAAGTGTATAATTCGCTGGCCTAAATTGTATAATTCGCTGGCCTATTTCGCTGCAATTGTATAATTTGCTTTGCATATAGTTGAATCGAATTAAAATATATATATATTGCATAATTATAAGTGTATAGCAAGAAGATATATGTTTTTCTCGCTTTATACAAAAACAAAAACACAATATATACACTTCTGTTGTATAAAGCTAGAGAAAATTGTATAATTCGCAATTGTATAATTCGTTGGCCTTTTTCTCTGCAATTTTTGAAGTAAAATGTTTGTAAATTGTATAATTAAGTGTATAACACGAAGATATATATTTTTGCATGTGTATATACAATTTTCTCTCGCTTTATACAAAACAGAAACAGAATTATACACTTCTGTGTATAAAGCGAGAGAGGCGAGCGAGATTTCTGGGAGAGAGACGCTGGCAAATTTTTAGATAATGTTTGCTATGGAGCACAATTAAATCAAACCCTAGCTATTCCATTTAATTTAGGTTATTAGTTTGCTATTTTATACAATTTCCCCTTTTAAAAAAGGGCTTTTTAGCCCGCCCTGAATAAGTCTATTGATTTGTGAGGATTGAGAAATATCGGTAGGGCCACCCCGTAAATATAACATGATATTAAAATTTAAAATTAAAAAGAGTTCAAACTCAAAACAATTAGGTTAATATTTCTATTTAGATATTTATACTCTTACTTGAAAAAAAATTAATAAATATTATAAAAATAATTTATTTGTAAATTTGATTAAGTAATAACATATATATTATGTAATATTGTTTTGTTGATATTTATGATTTATTTTTAATTTAATTTAATAATTATATAAAAATAGTATTTTTTAAAAAATGAGCTGACTTGTGGGTTGGGCCGATCGTTTTCTGACCCACACCAAAAATGGTCTAGACCAGCCTGACCCGTAAATGTCAAAGTCTTTATGGGTTAGCTTGGATGGGATGAGTTAACCCATATTGACAGCTCTAATACCAAATTTTATGTTTGTCATAACTATTAATATGTATATTTCGCTATATATATATACACAAAAAAAGCAATTGTATAATCTGTTTTAATATACACATACAAAAGAATCAATTTGTATAATTTGTGTTTGTATAAAGTAAGAAAAAGAGAAAGACAAAAAAAAACTAGATAGTGAAAGACTGTATTCGTATAATATACGCATTTATATTTGTATATATAATTTTCTTTGACTTTATACAAACAAAACGCAATGTATACATTTTTGTTTGAATAAAGTGAGAGACGAGTAACAGTGGCGAACGAAATCTGGAAGAGTGGAGAGCGAGATCTTGGAAAGTGGCGAACAAGATATGGGAGAGAGGGAAAATAGATTCGTTTAATGGTCTTATAGATTCATGTCATGTGTACTATTTAATAATTTATGGTTGAGATTCTTTTTAATCATATACTCGTTAATTATAATAATAAAAACAGCAAAGCAATCAACTTTTTTATTTTTTAAAACTATCAAATAAAGTGATCCTTTTCAATTTTTTTATTTTTTTAACATATAAAATGAGACTGAGAAAGTATGTTTAGAAAAATCATAAATAGTAAAATTTATTTTACTAATATACCCTTTAAGAAACTTGCTTAAATCTTTACGAATTCATTTTTTTTAAAGAATTAATTGTAAGAATAAAAAGGGAATTGTAAAATATTAATTCTTTTTTTTCACTCCTCAATTTCTTCTCTCTGCTATCACCGTAAGTTCCCTATATCTCCTCCTTGATTTCCTTTCTCTGATTTCTATTCATTTTGATTTTGATTTGCATTTTTCTTCAATTATTTGAAACCAGATTTTACTGAAGTTGCAGATTTTGATTTTGTTGGATATTTTTGTTTCTCAATGCACAGTTCATTTGTTCTTGCTATCTCTCTTCTTACTATAAAAAATTTGTTACTTGTATACTTTCATGGCTTATCAAAGATTTAACTAACAATTTGATTGTTTGATTTTGACTTTGACACTGAGTTTAAGAAAACAAAGAGATTTTTGAATGTTGTGGGATCTTGTGGTTATGTGGGAAGTTCCAAAAAGGAAAATTGAAACTACACAAACAAATACGAATGGAGGGGTACATGTATTTGTTAATTTTTCATCTTTTGCAAGTTACAGTTTCATTAGTGGATAAAGCTTAAAATTTAAGATGTGGGTTTATTCCTCTTACTGGAAAGATTAAGATTAAGAGTTATTGGAATTTTAATGCATGGCAAAATTGTGATTTCTATGTGAAAACTCTTTATTAGCAGCATCAATTTCTGGGCTTGTATATTCTTGAATTTCATTTTCCTTGGGAAGTTGGCAAGAATGTTCATCATTTGCTTAATCCTTGCAGAGGAAACCATTTCGCTCGCTAGCAGCTCCAACTTACTAATCTACAAAGTTAAGGGTTATTTTACTCGTTGTATGGCTTCCTCAATGGTTGGGGCACAACCATCATTCTCAACACTAGCAATATCAACCAACGAACCTGTTGTTTCAGTTGACTGGCTCCATGCAAACATCAGAGACCCCGACTTAAAGGTTTCTGATCTTTTCAGTCTTAGCAGTCAAAATACTTGATAAAGAATAAGATGGTGATAGTATGGCCGTTATTACAACTGTCTAAACTACATTTGCTGCTCTAAATATTAAATCTGAAGTTGCATTTTTTGTTCACTCAACTCATGCCTATAAAAAGGACAATTCTTTTCCTTTTCTGTTCATTTCTATTTAGCAACACATTTGCACATGTTTTCTTTCTCTTCCAATTTTTCGGGTGGGGTGTGTGGTGCTGGTTGTATTATGTGAGGCATCTGTCAAATAGTACTGAGATTTTGTTTCTTTTTCCTATTCTTCTAAAGGTGTTAGATGCATCTTGGTACATGCCAGATGAGCAGAGAAATCCACTCCAGGAGTATCAGGTGCTGACTCCTGAGAAATTCTTTTCTGAATGACACTGCTTTATCTTGAATCACTGATTGCTTTCTAGAAAATATGTTCACAGATAAGCAATTTTCTTTTTCTCAGTCGCATTTATGGTAATTTTGTTCAACAGTCACTTTCATTCTGTTTTTCTGGTAGAATTTTCTAACTTCAACTAGAGCAGGTCGCTTGCATTCCTGGAGCACTATTCTTTGATATAGACGGAATAACTGATCGGACTACAAATGTGAGATATCTTCCCTGCTAAATTATTTCTCCTCTAGAAAGAGTGATTTTGCTCGACATAATCTTTGCAAATTACTAAACCTTCTCTGGTTTCAGTTTCTCTTCTTTGCAAATTATTTCTGTTTCATTTTTGTCCCATATATGTTTCTCCCTGTACTGTAATAGATGCTTCAGCTAGCCATCCTGCATGCTTTTGAGATAGATTTCATCATCTTTTATGATATAAAAGCTTTATTGATTTATCAGTTGCCACATATGTTGCCGTCTGAAGAAGCATTTGCAGCTGCTGTGTCTGCTCTTGGTATCAAGAACAAAGATGGGGTTGTTATATACGATGGCAAGGGCATTTTCAGTGCTGCCCGTGTTTGGTGGTGAGTTATTCAATTGATGATAAAAGGCGGTTAAGTTCATATTATGCAAAAGTGTCTAATCAATGGAATATGGGTAATCAGGATGTTTCGAGCTTTTGGACATGACAAAGTTTGGGTTTTGGATGGTGGCTTGCCAAGATGGCGTGCTTCAGGTTATGATGTCGAGTCACCTGGTGATGCCATTCTGAAAGCTAGTGTTGCCACTGAGGCAATTGAGAAAGTATACCAAGGACAGATGGTAAGATGAACATTTCTCAATTTCCTTTATCTCACTAAGCTTGTAGCCTTGTACATCTTTAAATAAAACAAGATTCCACAAGAATAGCACCTTTTGAAGCAATAGGGTGAGGTTCTCTAAGTTTTATTGTCTTCTCGGGACTTTTGCTGCATCGTTCCAAATAATGCTTAAGTAATGACTCTGTTGGTGCTTCTTGAATATCCGGAGGGCTCCACAGACTCATCTTGTTCATGTTATAACCGTTCATTATGTAAGGATGAACAACTTTTGTTTTTACCTCAAGTCAGACTATCTTAGATTCTTTTTCCCCTTAACCGATTTAAGAAATAATTCTCTCATTATGTTACTTAAATGAAAATCTATCCTTTTTATAAGTAAATTTACTGAAAAGTGAAAACAGTACCCAGGTGATGCAAAAATTACAGAGATGGACTTAAGAACTCCTAGTATATGCTTGAAGAGTCAATCAAGTCCATCATATTTGCTTGCTCCTTAATTGTATCCCCTCTGTTCCAAAAATACAAGTATTAAAGATAACTATACTTTACAAAAGTTTCAAGGAACTGTAGTTGTCTTCCATAGGATGCAGTGAATGATTTGATGTTTGACAAGTTCCCAATTCCTTAATTCTTTTTTTATTGGGGATGTATATGATGAAAATACCTTTTCAATCACACTTTGTCCACTTGGAATTTATGAATATAAAGTTGAAACATTAGTTTTTCTTGCTGTGTAGAACTTCTAGGTACATTTTCTTTCTCCCTCTCTTCGTATGTTCTGACGTTGTGCATTTAATGTTATATTGTTCAAATGTTTCTCTTAGAACCTTTAATGTGCAGGTTGGACCTTCTACCTTCCAGACCAAGTTTCAGCCTCATCTTGTCTGGAGTCTTGATCAGGTTGGTTTCCTTGATTGCTTTCTGCCGTACAACACTTGGTGGTGGTTGCATCTAGCCATGTATCATGAAGCTGATGGTAATGGCAAGGACTTTTTTTGGATTATTGACATTCAGGCGGTATTCAAAATCCAACTATTTAAAATTAGATTTTTTTTAAGAGAAAGGTAAGAGTAGTATTATGAAGTCTCCAGCACAAAGACTATGCTAGGAACAATATCTACTGTTCAAAAAGCAAAACAAAAGGTAAAACATGAACGACACTACAAGTGGACTGCAATTTAGTGGGTATTAGATTGTAAGTTTGTTGGTTGATATTTGTTACCCTTAGTGCAACTTTGTTCTGCAAAAATCTACCTCCGTTTCCCTGATTGACTGGTACAACTCTATGAAGTTTGTGAAGAAAATCTAGGAGGACTAGAACTATGACAATTGGAGGATGTTTTCTACAGAATATTTTGATCTGTTCGTGGATTCTGGTAATAGCTGCTCTTTGTGAAGGTTAATAGTTTGATGATTGTATGATAGTCCAATACTGGAAAAAAATGTGAACACAATCTTGTCACTTGACATAGGTCAGAAAGATTGGATCTTTCAATATATTCTCCATAAATGTATGTATTCTTATCAGAATACTTCTAGCTTGGCTATAGAAATGGAGATATGATTTCTGTATATTTTCAGGTTAAAAGGAACATTCAAGACCAGACATATCAGCATATAGATGCTCGATCCAAAGCTAGGTACTTCATCATGTCTGCAAACCCATATTTTAAAATGTGATTGACTAATATGCTAAGCTATTTGTTCAACAACACTCACATGATGAGGAGAGTAGATTTTATTTGTCAATTATCTTTTGAAGCAGTTATAACCCTTGTGAATTTACTTTTTAGATTTTACTTCTCCCTCCTAATTTATGCGACACATTAAGTCAGAAAATGTTTGGCACATGTTATGAATAATAGTGATGTTCAATTTGACCATTCTATACTCTTAAGAGTTCAACTTCAAACTCAAATAATGAGGTTATGCTTTCCTTTGCAACAGTTAGCTCTATAGCAAGTCAAATTGTCTTTGTGCCTTGTTAAATATGTCGTTTGATTAGAGAGTAATATCTTTTGGCATGTCTTGTCATCTATAGGGCCTTGTTGGATGCTTTCCTTACAAACAATTAGTTCAATATGCTAGTCAAAGAGAGGCTGCTGTCTTGTTGTATGGTTAGAAAGGTCGGAGTAATAAATTTTGGCACATCTTGGGATTTAGATAGTTAGATTGCCGTTATATGAATATGTATTTCTTTCTTATGCTACATTATCTTTAGGACATGTAGACAGAAACTTCTTCTCCTAAAGTGAAATGTTGGCATAGCCAACTTTAACATTTTGTAATGGCTGCAATTGATGTGCCTTAGTGAGCAGGAAAACTTAGATAAACATTATTAGTGGTTACCATCGAGAAAGGATGGAATCTGAAAATGTTGCAATTATATCTTTCCTGACAACTCTCAAGTTTACCACAGTCATGAAGTCATGAGTTATTAGGGACCACTCATTACATAATGTGTGAAAGGCTAATTGGGGTGCTTATATATTTTTTCTTTATACAACATAACGTGTGATCTGGAGAGGGTAGAGTGCACACAGACTTTATCCCTGCCTTGAGAAGGTAGATATGTTGTTTCCGATAGACCCTCGACTCATGTAAAACATTTCAAAGCAGTTTAAAAAGGGAAAACAATAGTAAAGTAGACATATCAAATAGGGAAAGCATTACTTAACATTCAAAAAAAGGAAAAGTAGCAATAGCAAAATAATGTGACAAACAAGGTACTAGAAATAACAGGCAGCAGTAGAAGTCACAGGGCTAGGAACTACGAGAACAGATACTAATACTACTAGAATGAGAGGAGAACAAGTACACTTCTCTACACTACCACCAAGCCTTTCCTGCAGGAATGCGAGACAATACTTAATTACCTACTAATATCTACCCTAATCCATGATTTCCATAATTTCTATTTAAAGTCATTCCTCGGTGAGCTAAAGATGCATCATGTTATGTCCAATAACCTCTCTCTAATACTTTTTTGGTCTACTTCTTCTTGAACCCAACATTGCCAACCTTTCACACCTCCTAAATAGAGTATTTGTGCATTTCCTCTTCACATGTCTTCATCATTTTAGCCTCGTTTCTCTTATCTTATCCACACGGGCCACTCCCATCTTGTTTTAGATGTTCTCATTCCTAATCTTATCTCTCTAAATATGCCCACACATCAAGCACAACATCTTCATTTTCGCACCTCACATCTTCTGGACACGTGAGTTCTTAACTGACCAACAATCTGCCCCATAAAACAGTAGGCCTAACTACCGCTCGATAGAACTTGCCTTTAAGTTTTGGTGGTGTATTTTTATCACACAAGACTCTAGAAGCGAGCCTCTATTTTGTCATTCAACACCAATACGAAGTGTGAGATCATCGTTGATGTCTCATTCTTTTGGATTAAACAACAATAACAACACACCCATTGTAATCCCATAAAGTAGGGTCAGGTAGAGTGTACGAAAACTTTACCCCTACCTTGGAGGTAGAGAATCTATTTCCAATAGATCCTCAGCTCAAGAAAAAATGGTTCAAAGTAGTATGAAATAGTAAATGACAGAAGTGAGAAACTATGACAAATCATTCTAAACAGTGGCTACAATTGAATAATACAACAATTGTTGAAGAGTCCCACATCAGATTAAAAAAGGACATGTGGTCTCTTTATAGGCTTGAGCAATCCTTCCTTTGAGCTAGCTTTTGGGGTTTGAGTTAAGCCCAAAACTTAATTTAACATGGTATCAAATCAGAATCCATCTCAATTAATGTTTACTGATGATAAGCCTATAAATTAGATTGTCCACACACCAGATGTCCAATCCTAGGCGAAGAGTCCCAAGAGCTATTCTTCATTTTCTTCCAGATCTCTAAATGTATTACCAAAACTAGGAGCTTATGTTGGTTCATAAGCGTCTCACCCGGGATGACTTTGTAGTCTTTACAAAGACCTTTATCAACTTTCTTAGGGGGAAAAATAGTCTATTTGTCTTGCCCAATGTACTGTGGAACTTACCAAGTTCTCCTCCTTATTTGAGAAACTCAAACTGGCTACCCCAACCTAAAGGCTCCTGCATAATCTAGAAGTGAGCCTTTTCTTTTTCCTGTTCCCGGAACCGAAACCTCTATGCACTTGTCATAGCCCCGTGGAGTTGACCCGATTTGTCCATTAAAATCTCCTCATACGGATAACTTCTCAGTGAACGATATATCTTCCATTACCTTGTCAAAATCAGTTCTTGTCCGTTTTGCCCAAGCCCGCTTGTGGTGTGCATGGACTAACGATGTTCAAAGTGGACCCTCCAATGACTAATTTAATCGTTATCATCTTGTCGTTGATTCTCCAAACCTCTACCACTTGCTCCCTTATTTCTCTATCTATTAAGAATCCTACTCCATTTGTATTACTCAAGACTACTAAGTACCAAAATTTGTACTTGTCCACATCTAACGCCTTAGTACCTACCCATATGGTCTCCTAGGCACTAGCTACACATCTTCCTCTTTTTGAGAATCTTCATTAGTTTATGGACTTCCCCATTAAAGTCCCTATGTTCCAAGACCCCAATCTCAGCCTAGAAGATCCCATAACCCACTTACCATCCCTGACCCTAGCCTCTGTCCCCGACTGAGAAAATAACTAATCAAGGGCTTACATCAAAATGAGCAGGAATCAATACTCAAGAGTAAAGACAGAGTAAGAATCCAAGGACCAAAGTCAATAAGGCAGGAGCTGAAGCACAATTGAGCAAGAATTTAAAGACGAGTACAACTAATAAGACAAGAATGGTAGCACTAACGGCTGAGAGAATTGTACACAAGAATTACTAGGGCAGGATCAAAGCACAAGCAAGCAAGGATCTAAAGGCAAGAATTTCTATAAGACAAGGATGATTTCACCCGAATACAAACCTTTGATATTTGGAACTTCTTCTCTTGGGGATGACCTGCTTATCAAGCCTCACTTCTACGCCAACCTCTTGTGTCTCATCACTGAACTTGCAGTATAAGCACTCCTTTGGGGTCCCACTCAACCTGGACCCTTTAGACTCTAAGATTCGTGTCCAAACTTCCAGCCTACTGTTAACTCCATTGCGTGTCTGGTCAATCAGTACTATGTCATTTGCCAATAACATTCACAATGGCACCTTTCCTTGGATATGACGTGTCAACTCATCCAACACCAACAACACAAATAGAAACAGGCTTAGAGCGGATCTCTGGTGCAACCCCATTATGACTTAGAAGTGTTCTAAGTCTTCTTCCAGTGTTCTTACCGGCTTGGCTATTGTACATGTTCTGAATCACTCTACTGTATGCCACCGATACACTTCTAACCTCCAAACACCTCCATAGAACCTCTCTTGGGACTTCATCATAAGTCTTTTCTAGGTCAATGAACACCACAGGTATGTCCTTATCCAAATGAGCCCATTAACTCTACAAAATGCAAAACCTCAACTTTTTCATGTAAGAAACTAAGATGCCTATGATGCCAAGTATAATCAGAATTTTTTACTATACTCTTCCAGATGTCACAGCTTGCGGACCCAGTTAAGAGCCATTTGATTGCTTGATATGCATTGACATGTATGTGCATAAGATTTAGAAAGAAAAACCACTTCTCTTTATATTTTAAGAATATTACTAGTTTCGTTCTTTGTGTGATGTCAAGGAGCAATTCTCACATTAACTTCTTTGTAGGATTTCTTCCCTTTGTGGTGTCAGTTCCTTGTTTACGAATAAATAAGGATTGATATATTCTGTTCATAGGTACTTGTATGATGATGGTCTAGGAAAAAATCATCTGTTCTAGAATAGTGTTTACAGGGTAGGGCATATTTACATTTTCAAGTTGTTTTGGTGAAGTTACGCTCTTAGTCATTATTATTTCAAGAACTGCAATTGTTTTGTATAGTCATTCCCGTTACGAGTGGCTTCTGTCCAAGAACGAGTAGTTGTGCATATCTTCTTTTCCCAATAAATTACAATACAAACACTGCTCTCTGCAGGTTTTGAGTTTAAAAAGCTATGTAAATGTGGTACCTATACTCTACATACTTAAGATATGATGTTGAGGAGAAATAGTTTTTTAATTTGGATATTTAAAGATGGGCGTAATCTTCCTCTATGAGCGAGACGCCATCCAAATCTTCCACTCCTTGGGCGAGGCCTTCTGTTCTATGAACACCCCATCACTGAATGATTCACTTTCAAATTCTCGCTGTAAATACCCGGTCGTAAAATTAGGAAAAAACTTTGACTAAGAAGAGGTAATAGAGGGAATAAATTTATCAACTGCAGCAAACTGAAGCAACTGTAATTGGTTAATGTGTAAATTTTCTAGAGTTCAAATGCAAGCTTAATTTTTTTCATAGAGTTAAGTTATCTGGATTTTTGTTTTGCAACTGTTTTAGGTTTGATGGTGTTGCACCAGAGCCTCGAAAAGGAATTAACAGTGGACATGTACCCGGGAGCAAGTGTATTCCTTTTCCACAGGTGAGGATCTGTGCATTGAAGAAAAAAAACGATTTTTCAATATTCTATGGCAGTTTTCCTGTTTCATCTCCTGTATAAAAACATTTCCTGCTTTCAAATGAAGATATGGTGAAGTATTTCTGTTTGAATAGGTTAAACTATTTGTCTCATATTTCCACTGTGCTTGATGCTCCTTGACCATGGATAATTTACTTCCAGTCATTGATATCATCTGGACTACCGAGTGCATGACAATATAAGTTTCTAACAGTTGACAATGATCAAAACCATGAGCTTGTACTAAGTTTGATGCATTTTGCTTAAAACCTTGTAACAGAATGTTAAGGCCCAAATTATGAAATTTCAATACTATGCCTCTCAGAGATGCAAGTCACAAAAATGAATGTGAAAATGCTCTCAGGCACAGTTATTGAGGTCAGAAAAGACTTGTTCTTTTCCAGCCGTTTGTAAAGTTTCTGGCATCTTTACAGTTATTCGTTAATCACATTCATCAGTTATTACTACAAAAATTGGTATAGATTCAACATGTGTGGGGAAGGTTTGGTTTGAATGGGTGGAATAAAACAGAAGGTTGATGTGCGGAGCTACTTTTAGTAGAAAAACCATGGAGTTATTGTGCTTTGTTTTATGGGAGGTATCAAGACATTCTGATATGCATGGCCGGAGATGGAAACTAAACGAACATCATTCAAGTTACTTTGTATACACTATTAAACGAATCTGGTTTAAGATTGATCCAACAGCCTATGCCAGTTAAAGTGATGGGGTAACAAATATTTCAATTAGGCTCAGTTTTATTTACCGAGTCCCAGCTCTTTAAACCAAACCATTTTACTATGGTCGGTTTATAATAAAATGGGACCAATCTTTGTGGAGATTGAAGCAAATAAATCAGTCCTTGGTAACTCCAAATGCAGCTCTGGAAAGAGAAAAACAGCAGGAGTTTTGAAAATTGGCATAATAGCTTACAGAAGATCAAGATGGATGCTTAGCTCTTTTCTATTTTTGGTGTAAACAAGATATTAACTAGGACAGAAAATATCTTTGATGTGCTAGATTGTTCATAGGTAGCAGTTTAGACTAAGACTATTTTATTCGAGAAAATGGTTTAGAACCCCCCTAATTTATATCTGAAATCTCAACTACACACTTATTCATTACGAAAGTCCCATTACACTATTTTAAAGTAGAATTATTTGCTCCCTGGATGATAATGTGGCAAGGTAAGTGTAGGACACTCTCTCAAAGAGAGTGAGAGGTAAAAATACTAATTAAAACTTTAGATTTTAAAAATATTTCTTAAATTTATATTATAATTTTTTTATTCTTCAAAAATCTTTTGTTTCTTTTTTTAAAAAAATTATTTTTTATGGTCTTTCTTCTTCTCTTTACCAAAGCTACATCGGCGGCGGTTCTGCTCCACCACCAAGTCGGCGCCCTCACCGACTCTAATCATTAAGTTAACTCTTTTTTTTCAAATCACAAATTTCTCACAGTTAGTGTGAAAAATTGACAAGAACTGAAAATCGAAATCGAAAGTCAAGAGGATCGAACTTTAAAGTTATTAATGGAGAAAAATTCATCAAGTTACAGATCCATCGATGGAGAAGAACTCATCAACAAAATCATTAGGTAACAAACCCATTTATGAAAAAGACCCAATAATCGAAATGAGTTGCTGAACATTGTTAAATTCTAGCTTCAATACAAATCATCAAAAATTTTCTTGTGCTCATAACTCCAATGAGGCTCGAAGAAGATGGTGGCAGTCATATAAAGTATCTCCAAATCTGAAAAATTTGTTGTCGAGATTAAAGAAAAAGATGAATGGAAAAGGAAAGTGAATCAAAGAAGAAGAGGAATGGAAAAAGGAAAGTGAAAGAGAAAGATGAAAATATAGATGAAAAAATATTGCAGCATAAAGTTTTTTTGTTTTTTTTTAAAAAATGGTTAGATTACGTGGCTGAGCGCATGAGATTCATTATTTCATATAAATCTGGTTGTGTTTTTAAGGGGTATATATTTTACTTTTAAAATGTTCTGGGGGGTAATAGAACTCCCGTAATGAATAAGTGTGTAGTTGGAATATCGGGTATAGTAGATTAGGGGGGTTTTAGACCATTTTCTCATTTTATTCTGTTATTTGTAAAACTTTTGAAGGGGAACTACACTGTTGTTATAGTATACCTGTGGATATATAGACTAAAGTTATCAGTTTAAAAAAAAAAAAGATTCCTTGTAAGAGAAGCAAGGATGGTAGTTATTTTTGGGTCCTTAGATGTAACACTCATATATTTGGTTTCCAGAACAATCTTTGATGATTTATATACTGATCTTGTTATATTCTCAAAAAAGAAAAAAAATCAACTCTTCTCTGGTCTTCCAAGAATCATTTTGGGCATATTGGCTCTTGGATCCTACACTGATGCCTTCGTCTGCCTGCAAAGATTCTTGAAAACTGAGGCATTCTCATCTCTTTGTCCCCTTATGCTTGACTTTGCGCCTAAGCCCTGGAAAACCTAGTGTGTGTAGTACCTGTTCAGTTTATTAGCTTCTATCTACTCTTTGATGATTTATGTAGAGACTATCTGGTTGAAGCTCTGAAATAACCTTGGGTAGTCATCATCATCAGTATGAGAGTGTGAAACAATAAATGAGCTTTACATGTTTTGCCTGTATTTCCTTGTTTCAAAGCTTAATCCCTACTGAGTAATTCCTAGATCAAGTTCTGTAGCTGTGATAGATTCAAATCTATTTTTTTTTTTTAAAAAAAATCAAATATTCAAATCTATATGTTTGTGGTGATTCTTATCAGATGTTGGATGGCTCACAGACACTCTTATCCCGTGAAGAGCTCGAGAAAAAATTTGGTCAAGAAGGTTAGAACTAGTCTCATTTTCTGAGCTAGAGTTTGGGCATGCTGCATTTCTGTGGTTTTGCTTTCCTGCTACCCCTAGCTTTGCTGAATGTTAGACTTCATAAAAACAGTGAGCCATGTGTTAAAAAGGTATGTTGTATGTGGCACGTTTAGGCCTGAAGCTACCATGGAGCTCAGGTTGGGAACTTAAGTGCAAGATCGTCATTGCAAAACATCCATGTCATTGCCTATAGGCAATTAGAGACCCCCTTTAAAAGGACAACACTAGGCAATAAATATAGTCAGCAAAGTGGAGGCTTAATTATTAACAAAATGTTTTCTGTAGTGATTTGGGTGCTCTTTAATCCCCAAATCACTACAGAAAACATTTTGTTAATAATTAAATCTCCACTTTGCTGACAATATTTATTGCTTGAATAATTCTTGTATAACCATGGAATGTATGTTATTTGAAAATGTCCTTGCTCTTTAGGTAACTAATCTAACAGTACATGGTTCTTTCGCAGGTATCTCTTTGGACAAGCCTATAGTTGCCTCTTGTGGCACAGGTGTAACTGCTTGCGTACTTGTCTTGGTCAGTTGAATCCTCTCTCTCTCTCATACAGCTTTCGCTTGTACTGTTGTACATTAATCTATGCCCAGTATTCATATGGCTATTCCATCGTCTCAAAAGAGGGATGAATTCAAAGTTCATTTATCTTTTTAGGGCCTCCATCGACTGGGGAAGACTGACATTCCAGTCTATGATGGTTCATGGACAGAATGGGCAACACAGCCAGATACACCTCTCTGCACATCTGAAAGATGAAGACGTTTGTATGGCCTGCCTAGTTTTTATGGGTGAGCAATGATGATTGTGAATCTAGATCTGGTTCCTTTTCTTAATGGTTAGTGCAACAACTTACATTGTATTGTTGAATGATAACAACGGAAAAATTTCTTCTCTGTTGTACAAAATGCCTTAATTTTACCTTCATTATATTTTTGGTTAGTGCAACAACTTCCATTAACTATACTTTGTACTAAAAAACACTCTTATGCTTGGATAAGTGAACTTAGAAAGGCCCCTGAAATCAAATGTATTCATGCGTTGTCCAGTTGGAGTTTATATTTGATGTGTCATTGAACATAAAACTACGCTATGCGTGATTATAAATATTTAGCGAAATAGATATTTGTATTTATACATATAATCATTTTTGGAACTTATAAATTGGCTGGTTGCACTTTTAAAACATTACAGATTATAACTATCTGTTATATTGTATTGTTCATTTAAATGTATGATTGTCTTCGTTTCTTTATACTGCTGATATATGTACTACTCGTAAAAATGCATACAACGAACCCAATATAATAAGTTACTTATGCATTATAGTTATGATAGATATATTTTCAAGATTAATTAACTATTCTATCAAGGGTATAATAGATAAAATGAAAAAGGGCTTAAAATAACCCTTAAAGTATTGGAAATCCATTTATTGGTTCCAAAATATCTTCTCGCCCATTTATTGGATTTAAAATACCCATGTCATTTACATTTTGGTTTAAAATTGACAATTTATGTAATGATTTTATATTTAAATTATTTAAATATTTTTTTTAAATACATGATGTTCAACTATTTGTTATAATTTAACTTATTAGTATAATTTATAAAACAACAGAAAAGCTACAACCAATGAAAAGCTACAACCAATTGAGTGTTTTTAGAATTTTGAGGTGAAAATATCTATAGTACTAAATTATCATATATTTAAGTGTCTAAATAAAAATTTACCGATAAAAAGTCTGACTATGTTCATCTTAATTATTCTTACGTCTCAATTATGTGATGTTACTTCATCGGTAACTTTTTTCTCAAAATAATATATTAAATGTTTTAAAACAAATCATAAATATTTATAAAATTATATTTTAAAAAAGTGCATGAATTATTTCGGGATGTATTACTTCTTTATTTTTAATCATAAATTTCTAATTCAATCTTGAAAGAGAATCGTATTGAAAGTCTCATCCTAAATAAGTGGCTCAACCTAAATTTAATTGGGGCTTAAATTCGGACTCGAATAATTTCGGATGTTATTTTTCAGAAATCTATATTTTCATCGTGTTTTAGTAGTGTTTATGAAGATTTTGATATTATAATTGGATTATTAGTTGGGTGGGGTTTAGTTAGCAATGAATGGGTAGTGTGTTGATTTATAAATTAAATTATAACCAATAATTGAACGTCAAGGATCTTAAAAAATATTTAAAGAGTTTAATTTTAAAACAATTAAATAAGTGGTCAATTTTGAACAAAAAAGTGTATAGGTATGAGAAGAGCATTTTGGAGCCAATAGGTAAATGAAGGGTAATTTTGTACCATTTTCAATACTTCAATGGTATTTTAGGCCATTTTTCGTAGATAAAATATGATAAGTTATGTATAAATTTTATAAAATGACAACTATTGTTGTTCAGCTATTTATAGAAAGAAATGACGTATAAAATGAGACGGAGGGAATAATATTTTGATAAAATTAAAAAGTGTTACTTATTATATGACAAAATAATAATAAAGTGTTACTTATTATATGACAAATAATAAATAAACGTAGAAGTTAAAATTTATAAAATTCATGATTTTAACTTGTAATTGGAACTGCTTTTAGCCGTAAGGAAAAAAAAAAGGTTTAAGAAAATCAAAGCCTGCAGATAAACCTCTATATAAAAAAAATTAACAAAACCCCAAAGCCCCATTCGGTTTTTCCGACGACCAAGACCGGCGACAATTCAGTTTTTCCGACGAGCAAGAGAGCCGAAACCGAAGCATTATCTTCGTATTCTCTAAGCTTCTCAATGCATCTAACCACTACTCCTCCTCCTCAACAGCTGAATTCAATACAATTATCTTCAAAACCCCTTTTACTCACATTGCCATTCAAATGCAGAAGGAAGTTTTCCCGTATAAGAAGACCTACCATTGTAGCTTCTTCTTCCAATACTAATAACAGTCCTGAAGGGTTTTCTTGGCTGCAACTTTCACAGTCCATTCGCCGTGGTTCCGAACGTTTCTTGAATCAATTGGAAGACTCTGTGAAGCAAGAGACGGGTTTTGATTTTAAGGATGTTAAAGTTAAAGTTGGGGAATTTTCAGGTCGAGCTGTTGATTCAGCCAAGAATGGCCAAGTTTTGCTGCAACGTTTTCAGTCTGAGTTGTTTCCTGAGTTCTTGAATTGGAACAAATTCGAGTCCTGGAAGGTGAATTTTCCCATTTCTTATTTGAGTTATTTGTATAACTTTGTGCTCACATTATCCTTTTTCCCCTTCCCCCAGGACGTCAAGAAATGGGATTCCAAAAGAGTTGGTGTATTCATTCTCTATATTATAGTTACGGTATGTTCTTGTCAAAAAATATATATGGCAATTCGAGCTCCTATTATTAATAGGGAAAGAAAAGAACTTACTGAGGCATACATGGAAGCATTGATTCCTGAACCTACTCCTGTTAATGTCAAAAGGTAAAACACAAATCAAACTGCTAACTGTTTTTATTTTTATTTTATGAATACTTGATACTCGGAGATTGATATGATGTCATTTTTTGATCAGTTTGAGGTGCATCTTGAATTGTCTACCTTTTCTTTTGATGATAAAGGTTTTTATTAATAAAAAACGAATAAAAAACTAAACCAGTTCCAAGGAAGTATTTGAGAAACATAAGATAGGAAACAGATTATGGCTGCAATGTCTTTGGAAATTCTTAAGTCACTTCGTAAGCATCCTTTAGTTTACCTAAAAAACTTGTAGGAATACTTATACCTATGAATGGTTTCAGCTTTTCTTTCAATACACCTACCATTTCATTTTTACATAACATCCACATGATACAAGCCGGGATAGTGTCTCGAATCTCCTTTGCTCCTTTCAGAGTCCTTACAGAAACAATCATGACCCCACTAATCCCCAGTGCACTGTACTTCCGACCTTTTCCAAAGTTTTTATATCTTGTGATGGATTGGGGGAATTTAAGAGGAGCAGTCTTTTCATATGACAAGACTTTTCCAAAGCACGTCCCATGATGGAGACAAATGATTCTCTGATATTTTAAGGATTTGATCAGACTCTTACTTGACCATTGAACTTTTCTTAGCTGGGGTAAAAGCTCAATATTTCTAGATTTTAGTTTGATCTGCACCATTATCCTAAAATCAAATCAATGCAGTTTTATGAGTAGGAGGAAACATTTACCCATGCCACCTTATGCAAGTATGTCTTGTTGCTTGATCCAATTAGTGATCTAAGATGTTTTGTAATCTCTCAACTCCTTTCTTGGACATGTATTCTTATAGATTCAAGAAAGGTTTGTGGAGGAAGACGACCCCCAAAGGTCTAAAGTTAAAGAAGTTCATTGAAGCAGCAGATGGAACTCTTATTCATGACAGTTCCTATGTTGGTGAAGATGCTTGGGCAGATGATTCTGGCAGTCATAATATGAAAGAGGTGATAGACCATGATAGTAGATTGAGAGTAGAGGATAAAGAGACTCTGAAAGAGAATCTTGGAATTTCAGGTGAGTTTTGTTATTAACCTTGCATTATTTTTAAGTACGTAACGATCCTCCTCCATCATTTTTCCTTCATTCTAAAAAAAAAAAAGACGCATGAGAATTTTATAGTAGTATCTTATCATCTTCGAATTTATTTTTATTTTAAAATGAATAAGCTGCACTCTGCAAGCTCATTTTTTATATTTTCTTGCTCCCCCTAGTAATGGTAAAACTTTTGAACGGGTGGACTTCTCCCCTTTTTTGGTTTGGGTGAAGGGGAGGGAGGATGTATATTTACCAGTATTCTAAAAGGTGAGTGAAATTGGTCGCTGTCCCATGTTTTTTCATAAGCAGGTTGAAAAGTTACTGCAAAGTCATGATACAAGTAGATGTGATGCCGTGTATCAGTTTGAGGGCATTTTGTTTTTCTGGTTTTCTAATAGCAGCTGGACAAAAGAACGCTCTTTGTTGTCACCGTTTAAGAAAACACGAGTTAGAAATTTTAAACTTCTATATATTAAATATGAAAACTATATTAAAAGTTAAAATTTTATTATATAGACTATCACATAAATAATTCAATAAGTTTACACTAACAAAATAATTTCATATATTATGTTAATGATAAGTTCCTTTCTGCTGCCTATTCCACTTTTATAGTTCTTGCATCCACTGGATGCTTTGTTATTAATAGTTTATTACAACTCTTACTTCATAAAAAAAATGATATATTACGTTAATTTTTTAAAAATGAATTTTGTTAAAAGTAAAAAATTAACAATTTTTTTACATAATTTACTTGCATCCACTGCAAAAAAATGAATTTTGTTAAATTATGTAAAAGAAAATCATTTTAAGTTGCCAAGTGAATCCAAATTATGTTAGTAGTCTATTTAAGCATTTCTTATCCTTTTTCTTTTTGCAGCTGAAAATCAGGATACGGGAGGAACATGGCGTGCAAGACTTCAAGAATGGCACAAAATTCTTAGGAAGGAGAAGATGGCAGAACAATTAGATTCAGTAAATGCGAGGTATGTGGTTGAATTTGACATGAAGGAAGTTGAGAACAGCCTTCGCAAAGATGTTGTTGAGAAGACAAGAGAAACTCAAGGAACCAGGGCATTGTGGATCTCGAAAAGATGGTGGAGATATCGCCCGAAACTTCCCTATACCTATTTTCTTCAAAAACTTGATACTTCTGAGGTAAATGTTTATCTTCTCACTTCTGTATCTCTTCATACTCAGATATGGTTGGTCCCTTCTGGTTCTAATGCTTCCAAGTGGAAATAAGTGTGGATGCTTTTAAATCTACAGTATTAATGAATACATGGTACATTTTAAGGATTGTACTTCAAGTTGTGGCATGGGTGACTTGATGCCACCCTATTCTTCATTCTTTTGAATGATGTTATAAGGGAAAATAGCAAAAGATAGATTTCTTAAAGAAAACAGTTTCCTTTTCTTGAACTCTAGCTGGAAACTAAAATTATCTTTTACATGTGGATCAAACTAATTTATTTTCTTTACTTGGATATG